GATGTAGGTTGCTAAACCTTTAAAAATTTTGTAAGTGGAGGATATGAAATTTTTTGGGGGGGGGTTTTATATATATACATTTGAATAACTAAAAAATCATAAATTACTACATCAATACCATAGAATTCCACTATAATTTATCAAGCTTGGTAACTAAGATGTATTTTAGTCTAAAAAATATGAAATTTCAAGCAGACTAAAGACACACCATCTCCTTGAAATATTGGTTCAAAAGAAAAAAATGATATCCATCCCATTAAAATGGCTGAGAAAGCCACTAGGAGGACATTATGAACTTCCAATTGCTTATTCTTGTATGTATATATAGAAGTAGGTGTATATAAGGTAGCATTTCCAAAAATGGAATGAAGTGGGCGGTGCTACTGTGTTGGATTCGTACTTAACTGTGAATACAGGCTCAATCATTTTGACTGACCCCAATGTAACCACGAAACTACACATACTGTATCTCTGAATGTACTAAGTGTATCTTCATAACATTTGGCAAACTTGCAGTAAACACTACAAGTCTGTTATACACATAAAAAGCAATTTTTAATACTTTTATTACAGATCTTTCTGAATTTACAAAGCTGTCATCAAGATAGCCTGAGTGAAAAGTTATTTTCATGCTAAAAATAAAAACATTCTTTTCATCTTGGTTTTATATTTCATTTAAAAAGCCTCTAAAACCTCTTAAGGCAATATTTACTTTTTGATAAAACTTTACATTTGATCTCTTTTTCTCTCTAGTAACACTAGCTGTAGCAAAATCATCTGTATGGAACACTGAAAAATGAAATAAAATCAATAATTTTCTTCTAAAATGACTGCAGACTGTAACAGGCAATTACAATTATTTATCTTAAGAGTTTATAGCCTCTTAACTTTTCACAAATTTAATTTTATTGTTTCATTGTTCTTTGAACAGTATTAAATTACTACAACAGGCAATACATCATCCAGGAGGAGTGTAATAGTTTATGGTAAACAAAGTTTCAGGTTACATAATATGGTAACAATTTACTGAATAAGTATATTAGTTTTATTGTTGTTTTTTCAATTTCTTTGACTTTTTTGTATAAACAACTTTTAATTTTTTGTTTCAGTTACTTATGTTAAAAAAATTTTAAATTTGCATTTCAGAGCAAAACATATATTAGGCATTAGAACAGTATGCCCCATAACTACTATAATTCATCTGGTTTTCAAACTTAGCTATAAATACATTAAAATTTTCCATTACTCTTTGGTGCATTGACTTCAGTCTACACATATCAAGATTTATTTGCAAAATAGCAGCTTTCACAGAAAAAATAAAACAGAATATTGTCAGAACCAGGTAGTTCACAAAATTACCTTTCTATTGGTTACAAACATATACCATTAACAAATAGGCAGGAGCAAAAAGGTTTCAAGAGCATGAAGAGTTGGGTGGAGCTTTCGTCATAGATGACAAATCCGATATTTCAGAAAATAAAGAATATGGGAGGCTTTTATTTTCTGGCCTACAGTTTGTGAATCTAACTGATGGAAACTCTGAAACCCATATAAATGAATAGCAAAAATCTAA